TATAGTTTACCCTAAATATATAGATGTCAGGCATAAAACCCTCTCTTCTTTGATTTTCTTTTCTTTTTTTCCTGCTAAATGAATATAAAAACAAAATGACAACCCCTGTCATTCAAAGATGTACATAATCATGTATAAAATTATGTAGTAATAAGATGAGGGAACCGTACAGCTTTACGACGTGACAGACAGTGTTGTTGCAGTCACAACTAATGTTACTCTCAGATCTTTTTGGCCGATCTGCTGTTACCCCAACCATTTCAATTTTACAAGAATCACCATTAAACTTCCAATACTTCGCACCCATCGTACTAGTTATTTCTTGGAGAGCATCAACTATCCATCATGATAAAACCATCAAATAATAAATATATGGGTTCAAGGAAATAATACATTTTTTATAATCAGAGATTTCCAAATAACATAATTATGAAGTGCCTCCTCTTTGAAAAAGTAATATTTAGTTGCACTTGTATTTGGAAACTACAAGAGGGATGGAGTCAAAATAATTTAATTTTGACAGAACATCACATAAGGAAATTAAACTGACCATACACCAAAACAAAGTGTGTGGTATGCAAACAGTTGTAGTGATACAGAGTGCAATAACATCCCAAGATTCAAAATTTCAGTTTCCCCACATTGTATCAGCAACCCATTTGAAGTTATATGCAATAAAGTAAGGAATTAGCTCTTACTTTCATCTTGAGGGACCTTGGACTTTGCAAACCTCACCAAGCTGAAGCTGCAGCTTAACATAGTGACCAATAAAACCAGCAGGCTATTGCTCTTGGCTACCATAGTGATAAAGATTCAAGATTTGGGACAAAAATCTAGGCTTGTGAAAGAACAGCGGTGTCCAGCCACTTATATGATATGATTTTCTAGCTGACAGCTTCTCAATTTGAGCTTTGAAAAAGCCAGGCTAGTCAGCAATGCATGTAGTTGACATTTGAAAGAAAATCCCAGATGGGGAAATAGGAAACATCAATTCCGTGACTTATTCCTCGTTTGACAGAATGCAATGCTTTCAAATCAATTGACTGGGCGGCCCAAATATTGAAGTTTGGCTCACTTAAAAATGCGGAAATAGGGAGGAAAAGCAGCAGGCAACTGGTCTCTCGTTCTAGAAAAATCCGGTCACATAATACCGAGAGCGGAGGTCACGAGCGATGGAGCGAATTAGGAGTAGTTTTTGTGCAAAGCAACCGGTCGCAAGGTAAATGTGACTGGTCAGCGCGTGTTTTCCTGCTTAGCGTGCTTTGGTATTTTACACGGGTTTTGGATATTTTGCTAACCTATTTGGGCTAGGTTAAGTCTAAGTAGGTTTGTACTTAAGTCTTATGAACTATAAATATGCACTTTAGCACTAGGTTTTTCATAACGTGAGAAAACTAAGGTATCAAATTGGGTTTAAGCCAGTGGTGACAGAAAAGAGAGCTAAGATTTGTGTGAGAGCAAAGGAGGTTCTTTATTGTAACCAAATGGGTTCTTTCATAATAGTGAATTTCTTTGGGATCACTAGAGAGTACGTAGGCACAACGCCGAACTCTATAAATTTTTGTGTTCTTTGTGTGTGTTTACTAAGGTAAATGTGACCGGTCAGCGCGTGTTTTCCTACTTAGCGTGCTTTGGTATTTTACACGGGTTTTGGATATTTTGCTAACCTATTTGGGCTAGGTTAAGTCTTAGTAGGTTTGTACTTAAGTCTTATGAACTATAAATATGCACTTTAGCACTAGGTTTTTCATAACGTGAGAAAACTAAGGTATCAAATTGGGTTTAAGCCAGTGGTGACAGAAAAGAGAGCTAAGATTTGTGTGAGAGCAAAGGAGGTTCTTTATTGTAACCAAATGGGTTCTTTCATAATAGTGAATTTCTTTGGGATCACTAGAGAGTACGTAGGCACAACGCCGAACTCTATAAATTTTTGTGTTCTTTGTGTGTGTTTACTCTTCGGTTAGTGTGTGCGCTTTATCTTTTGCGTGACTTTTGTGTGATAATTGCATAATGCATCAACAACAAAGTTTTGAGGTGTTTTCGCACAACATCAAATACATGGATTGGAGATGGAATTTGGACTGAAGTGTCAAAGGTTGGAGAAGGTTGGAGATGGTCTAAGAGTTTAAAGTCAATATTGGTATTAATGCTTGATGTAAAAGGCTTGAACGTCACTTGCTGCATCCACATCACCCTTAACTACAATATTCAATGCCTCATCCTCAGGTCAGTTCCTATTAATGAAGGGACCCCTTATAGAATAATCAAGGAGACTTTTGATGGCACGAGTCAACGAGCAACTAGCTAGTTAGAGCATTCACAATCATGTTTTCTATTTTTTTTTGTTAAATTTTAACTAAAAATATATAAAAGTTATTTTAGGAGCTCTCTATAAAATTTAGAGGGGTGATTTCCCCACTCTAATTTTATCCACTTACACTCCATTTTATAACTAAAAAAGGAGTGTAAGTGGATAAAAAGGGAGTGGGGAAATCATTACCCAAAATTTAAACTCTAATCATGCTTTCTAGTTTAAGGAGTCATAAATGCTATAACTCTTTTTTAATTGGTCCATCTCTATTAAAAAATAATATAAAAAATAATTAACATTAATTAAGCCATTAGGAGTCCTTTCTCTCTCCTCAGATTTAGGAGCTCCTAGAGATCTCCCTATTTTAGGAGGTGGATATGGAGTATGGTTGAAGTTGTATTTTTTTTCAAATCCTCCCTAAAATTTGTCTAAGGAGGCAGTTTAAGGAGTCCATTGTAGATGCTCTTAGTCCAATTGATTATTACGCTATTTTGTCTGGGGACTGCCATTGTTTTTCGGTGGCTTGGGTGGTTTTCCCTTGTTGACGCTGCGGTTGCTTTGTTGTTTCAATAAAGGTCTAAAATATCGATGGTATCGGAAATATCAGTAGTCCAAAAATACGGAAATTTCGATGGAAATATCAAGATATTATCGATATCGATAAAAATTGAATAAAAACCACGGAAATTATAAGAAAAACTTGGAAATTTTTATTGAAACTTTGGAGGATGTTTATTTAGTCAACTATCTATTTGTTTATCACAAAAAAGTGGAAGGAAATGCATAGTATGATGGGTTTAACTGATTTAAGTTGATTATATAACGAGCTAACAAACAGTGTGAGTGTAAAAAATATGTAGTAATTTATGAAAGAATATTAAACACATCATAATCATTTATATATAATGATTTACTACAATATTTGACACTTTATAAATTGCATGATAATTGATTATTACGCTATTTTGTCTGGGGACTGCCATTGTTTTTCGGTGGCTTGGGTGGTTTTCCCTTGTCGCTGCTGCGGTTGCTTTGTTGTTTCAATAAAGGTCTAAAATATCGATGGTATCGGAAATATCGGTAGTCCAAAAATACGGAAATTTCGATGGAAATATCAGGATATTATCGATATCGATAAAAATTGAATAAAAACCACGGAAATTATAAGAAAAACTTGGAAATTTTTATTGAAGCTTTGGAGGATGTTTATTTAGTCAACTATCTATTTGTTTATCACAAAAAAGTGGAAGGAAATGCATAGTATGATGGGTTTAACTGATTTAAGTTGATTATATAACGAGCTAACAAACAGTGTGAGTGTAAAAAATATGTAGTAATTTATGAAAGAATATTAAACACATCATAATCATTTATATATAATGATTTACTACAATATTTGACACTTTATAAATTGCATGATAAGATACATAAGTGACTTAGTACCACATAGAGTTCCTATGAGGTTCATATTTTTCACTATCTTCATCATCTCTATGTGTGGAGTAAGTGTATTGTGAAGAGTAGTCATCAAATGATAAATCCCCAAAATAGTTTTGCATATAATTGTTAACATGCCACCCACATGGATCCAAGATTGGTTGACGTTGTCCATAAGCAAAATTATTTGAAGATTGGGTATCAGATTCTTTCGTGAGTTGCTCGATTCCATCTCAAAAAGAAAGGTCAAAGATTCACATTCTCATGTGAAAATCTGATTCTTGCAAAAACAGTTCAAAACAAAAACAATATAAATATACATATTTTAGCATATTATCACAAAAACGTAAGCAAAATGGTAGTTAAGGCATTGGAGGAGTGAAATGGCAGGGGTTTGAATCCCTTTGCGTGTGTGCTTTGTGTTTTTTTTTCCTTTTTTTCCATTACATCGTTATTTTCGATATTATATCGATATTTTGACAAAATATTGCTGAAGTGTGAGCGAAATTATCGACATCGATATTATTGATATTTATACGATATGTGCATGGATACATTCCGAAATATCCGTGACTCGAAAAAAACGATAATATCCTCAATATTTCGTCAATATTATCGATATTTTAAACTACGGTTTCAATTGTGTTGCCGGCGCTTTTTTGTTTTGTTTGTTTCTTTTGCATATTTGAGATTTGATATTCATGGTGGAGATCTACTCCAGATCTGTGATTCGTCCCTATTTGTGATTTGATAACAAACAGGGTGACCAAGCGGGCTGTGCAGATTTCTACAGCCTTTGTGCTGCTTTTGCTTCAACCAGTTTGTGGTGTTGATCAATAATCTCTTCTAGTTTTTTACTTGTAAGAGCCTCAAGTGTTTTGTTGCATTTGTAGTTTAGCTGCTTAGGCGTGTGGTGTTCTATGCCTAATCTTTCTGGGCTCGCCTATGCCTAATCTTTCTGGGCTCACGGCCCCTATCTTGATAATCTTTTGTGGTTACCGCACTTCCGCATTTGTATCAACCATAAATGGGTATTTGTATATGTTCTTGTACTGGCTTTTATAGAGGCCTGATTTATGAATGCAAATATCGCAAATTTTCAACAAAAGAAATTGAATCTTCAATTGAATATTGTTATTATTGTTGTTTGCAGAGACAAACATGGAATTCAATTTCAAGGTTGCAGAGACAAAAATACTCTTCTAAAACTCACCCCCTCCCCTTCCCAAATATATGTACAGAAAAGAAAATATGGACACAGCTAATCTGCATATGTGTTTCGAAGACTACAAACTACAACATACTTGCTACTATAGAACCAGAATGTCCACAACTGTCAAGATGATGTTGAGTTTGGATTGATTTCAGAGAATTCAAGGCCGGAGGTAGAGGTAGACTCGAATGTGTGGACCGTAGTTGAATGCTGTGATCGACTGATACTTAAACTATGATCTTGCCTCTGCCGGTGGAGGTCTCTCATGGCCTTAAACCTCAAATCTTCTCTATAGGTACTTGATTCTGGGATCACGTCAGGAACAGGAATTTGTCCTTCAAGCATGCTCACCACCTCGGACATGCTAGGCCTAAGCGAAGCAGAGGCATTTGTACAAATCAGAGCCACTTTAACCATGATCTCTGCTTCTTTTTGGTCAACCTCAGACCCTACTCATCAACTAGCTCCAACAAGTTTCCAGTTTGTTGCAAATGACAAGCCTGCAAATGTTTGTTGTAGTTTCTCACTGAATTATAACAATGAAAACAAGCAGATGTGACAAGATGGATGTAAAAATGGATCGATGAGCAAGAGGGAATGGTAAGAGTACCCAATCTAAAAGGCAAACCCAGTCATCACTTGGGATATAATTATTGTTGTTCTTCCCACTAATAATTTCCAAGGCCACTACTCCAAAACTGTAAACATCTGCTTTGTACGTCAGGTGACCCCATAATGCATATTCTGGTGCCATGTATCCTCTGCAAATCAAGATCCCAAAATCTTGTTATTCAACCAGAAAAAAAAATCACCAACTTAGCTAGACTTTGTTGCAAGTATATCAACAAGTAAATGTAAACAAGGACATGGAAAGTGGAAACTGACATGGTCCCAGCAACTCGGGTGCTCATGTGCGTCTTCTCCTCTTCATCAAGCTTTGCTAATCCAAAGTCGGATATTTTAGGGTTCAAGTCCCGATCAAGCAGCACATTAGTAGCTTTGATGTCTCGGTGAACAATTTTAAGTACAGATTCTTCATGGAGAAAAGCTAGTCCTCTTGCTATCCCAATACAAATATTACGACTTGTTGGCCAGTCCAGTTTAAGATGATTTTCTCGACCTACAAAAGTTTGTCAAAGAAAATACTGCTCGCTCAGACTTTCTTTTCAACTATAAATAAATTGTGTGAAAGAAATTCGAAAACAAAACGGAACGCAAGTAGTACTCAGGGAGTATGCAAGAAGAAACCTAGAAATCAGTATAACCCATCCAAGGATATAAATAAAGAAAAGGATAAAAACCAACTTATACACTTTAGAACATGATCAGTTACATCTTAATTGGTTTCCGCACTTATACAGTTGAGTAATTGAGATCATACTCACCAAACAATGCTCGTGCAAGGTTATTGTTTTCCATGTACTCATAGACCAGCAATAGCTGACCTCCATCAATACAACATCCATGAAGCTTCACAAGATTTGGGTGCTGGAAACAAGAAATCATGCCCATCTCATTTAAGAATTCACGATTTCCCTGCCTTGACTTGGATGAAAGCTGCTTAACGGCTATCACTGTAGCATCAGGCAATTGACCCTGCATCCCAACCCATGTTCAGAATTATGTATCTAAACGTAAAACAGAGAAATCTTAAAAAGAACATGGAAAAGATTCAACGTACAGATAGCTAAAGTACCTTGTACACAGGACCAAAACCACCTTCTCCGATTTTGTTAGCAGAATCGAAGTCATTAGTGGCAGCTTTTAATTGTCTTAAGGTAAAAGTCCCTGTCTGCCCATCAAGTCCTTCTCTATCTGTCCAAGGAGGCATCAGAAGAGTATGAGTGTTAGTCATCATTGCTTGAGCAATCAAAGAGTGCAATTGTTAATTTTTTTTCCTTCATTTCATATACTTGTGAAAACTATCAGTAGGAACCAATGAATCTGAGAATGACACATTTCGATATGATGAAGCACCTTTCTTTCTCCCCCTTTTGCCTGGCATGTATCCTTTCCACCAAAGGATTCCTAATATAACAAACGCTAGGCCAAATGCTCCTACTACAGCTCCAGCAACAATGTGAGCAGTTCCCTTGCTTTCACCATTTGAGCAATCTTTGGAATCTGCTCAAAAGAACAAATCAATTAACTAACTGGAATAACATAAAAGGAAAAAAGGACCAAGAAACTATTGTCCAGGAACACGTTTTCAAAGGCTGAAGTGAACATAAATTTTCCAAATTGGATAAACAAAATTGTAAAAGAGGTTGGGAAGTGTGCAATTGAGCCTTTATTAGAAACCCTTCATGTCAGGATTAAAAGCAAAGTCATTTTTTACATACATTAAATCCATTCCATTCATAGGAACGCACATAAAATAGCTTTGCTCTTGCTGCAGATAAGTTACAGAAATAAAACTTTAGCACAAACTACCACTAAAATCGGACTCTATGTCGGTAGAAAAACAAAATATCCTAATTAGCATTAAGGGAAAAGAAAAAGCAGCAGATGCATAATACATAGGTACCATCATCATACCACCAGTTCCTAAACTAGCCTGCTTCCTGAACTAGGTTCCCATGTTGTGTCTAATGTTAGGCCTCAAAACTCTGTCTGAGCCAAACCAATGTTGAAAACAGAAACAGATGTTGAAAACAGAAAAAATTGTGATCCAAGCTTTATCCCAAGCATACCTTATTATGAGTGCTTTTATAATAAGGTAAAGAAGAAGATTGCATCCAAATAACTCACCAGATTTCACAGAAATAGCAGAGATAAGGGGACCATAGACTCCTCTGTCAGGGATCCTTGTTGTCCCTTTACCAGCAAAATAGAATCGGATCTCTAAGATATTATTTGTTACACTGACATTATGTTCTAGTATTACTTCTTCCTGAGACTTCAATATTTGTTACACTGACATTATGTTCTAGTATTACTTCTTCCTGAGACATAGCGCTTCACATTACACCTATTTGCAACTTCATAACATACATTTTTAACAAAGTGACTAATTACCTGAACATAGATATCAAATACGCGTCTGCCAAGTGAAGACTGTATCTCCGCAAAGTGAAGACTTACAGTATAGTCCCCATTTTCTAAGCAATAATGGAAATATGTGATTGAAATTGGGGATATGCGTGCTGTTGTGTATAAATCAGAGAGATTTGAAGATGCCAGAGATACAGAGTAACGTGTATTTTGGAAATCATTGTCATCCATGAAGTCTCCAGTGCTACTAAATCCCCAAAAATAATCACCATTTAAGAAATACTCTGCAGCGCCACCTTCAACTCCTCCGTCTCCTTCATACGCAATGTTTCCTTTATTTTTTCATATTATCTAAATCTATATATATAAAGCAAAGGACAGAGAATTGTGAAACATTCAAAATACCAGAAAATGCTATTGGTTAATTCAAACATTAAGAATTGAAATTATTAATTAAATGAGGATAATATGGTAAATTTATATTTTTTCATATTAAAAAAAATTAAAATTAAAAACAAAATCAGATAATAGGCAGGGGCTAGTAAATACATATAGCTACAAAGAAAACTTGAAAAGGCCTTTTACTCACAACTCTTGTAAATTACTCAAAAGAGATATGTTGGAGAAAACTTGCATGCATTTCTCTTCAATCATCCAAATATACATATATAAGAAAATAATAATAAAAATTAGAAATAAATAAGAATGAAATAATTATGAAATAATTTGGGTCATCCATAATAACTTGAAATGTTGGAGGGGATAGTCGATTATCGATTCAATTGTAAAATTTCCTTGTAGAATAATTTGTAGAATCCAATAGCAAAATAATGATGGGACTCTAATAAAAGTCCCTAGTGAATATTCAATACAAAAAGAATAATAAAATTAAGAAAGAAATCTTGTCCCGTAGACATGGTGGGTAACAGATTTCACTTTTTTCATTTTCATTTTTAGTTTTCAGTTTTCATTTTCACTTTTTTGGAAAACTGAAAAACTAAAAACATGTTTGGTAACAGATTTCGTTTTCAGTTTTCAAAAAAGTGAAATCTAGTTTTCAAAATCACCCATATTTTTTAAAACAACTTGAAAGCGTTTTCAATTTTTTTTTTCCTTTTTTTTTTTTTTGCACTCCTATTTCATTCATTAATTTTACATCATGACACATAAAATGCACTCAAATTTTCAAAATTTGGTAGCTGGGACCTCCCGACTTGGACTTGGTCGCTCTATTCTTGCGTTTGGCTACAGACTCAATCCAAGCCTGAGAAACTCCATCTCCAAAATTCACCAAAAAATCATCATAATTCATAAAAACTCACCGAAAAATACTACGAACTCCTTGTAACAGGCACTTACATTCTATGATATCAAATTCACAATTGGACCCTAAAAGCTTCCATTTCCAAGTTTCACATAAAAATAAAAACTGAAAATTGAAATCAATTACCGAACATCTTGTGTTTAGTTTTCACTTTTCACTTTTTTTGAAAATTAAAATTAGTTACCAAACAAGTTTTCAGTTTTCAGTTTATGAAAAATGAAAAATGAAAAATGAAAACTGAAAATTGAAAATTGAAAAATAAAAACTGAAAACTGAAATGGTTATCAAACTGGTCCTAAATGAAGTAAGAGGTAATTGAAGTTTTTGGTATTGGAAAGTGAAGTGAAGGCATCTTTATACAAGGGCTTGTGCGTCATGGGCAACAAAAGGTATACATTTACTAAGAACTAGGATTGATTTTGTAGAGATCTGAAGAAGTAGCAGTAGCAGAAGAACCAATCCACGTTGCATCCGATGAACGAATGAGGCTCTGAGTTCCAGTTGAGCTCTCTTGTGCAATCTGATCAAACTGGTTTCTCAGAGCTGTTAACCTTATTTCATCACCATAAATACTTGGATCCATAATCAGTTCATGAACAGCAGTCTTCCCTTCAAGCATACTCACTACTGCAGACATAGCAGGCCTAAGGGCTGGTGCAGGATTGGTGCATAGCAGAGCCACTTTAACCATTCTAATTGCCTCTTCCTTACTGAAATTGGACCCCAACCTTGGATCTACCAGGTCCATTAAATTCCCTTTTTGTTGCAAAACAAGGGCCTGAAAAAACAGAGAAACCAAACTCATATAAGGATGACCAAATTTGAGTGGAGAAGTCTTTCAAGTAACAATGGCCACAAAACTGTGATTTTAGTTGCATGTACTGAAGGAATTTAAAATGAAGATCCACTTACCCAATCCACAAGGCATACAAAATTCTCATTTGGTCGATATTTCATGTTGTTCTTTCCAGCAACAATTTCCAATGCAACAACACCAAAGCTGTAGACATCTGCTTTGTAGGTTAAATAACCCCATAGTGCATATTCAGGCGCCATGTATCCTCTGCAGAAACCATAAAAAAATTGACCTCACATTCAACACTTTTGTGATCAAATAGACTCGGAAGCTTACATAGTTCCAGCAACTCTGGTGCTAATGTGGGTGTTCTCCTCTTCATCAAGCTTAGCCAAACCAAAGTCTGAGATCTTAGGGCTAAGGTCATGGTCCAGTAATATATTCGTAGTTTTGATGTCTCTATGCACAACCTTCAGTGCAGATTCCTCATGCAAAAAAGCCAAACCTCTTGCTATGCCCAAGCATATTTTCTGCCTTGTAGGCCAGTCCAATTTTAATGGACCTTCCTCTGGACCTGCAACCAACATAGATTCCCAGTTAATGGATTGTTTATTAGAACAATACTTCTTAAAACACCATTTCAGTGTTTGTTCCTAGACTTGATAAGCTTACCAAACAAAGCACGTGCAAGGCTATTGTTTTCCATGTATTCATATACCAACAGTAGTTGATTTGCTTCAATGCAGCACCCATACAATCTAACAAGATTCGGATGTTGTAAACCAGAAATCATGCCTATTTCATTGACAAACTCACGGTTTCCTTGCTTTGATTTTGAAGATAGTTGCTTAACTGCGATTATAGTACCATCCAACAATATACCCTGCACAAAAATATACTTTATTAATTTTCAGTTATAATAAAGTATAGGCCTATAAGTAAGAAACATAGATAATTAATCCAAGAATAGAGGGAAAAAAAAAATAAGGGATGGGGTTGTACAGTACCTTGTAGACAGACCCAAAACCGCCTTCCCCAATTTTGTTTTTAAGATCAAAGTTGTTAGTGGCAGCTTTAATTTGCCTGAAGGTGAAAAATCCAGTTTGCAGATCCAGTTCTCTAAGAGCTGTCCAAAGAGCAAGGTTAGGATGTTAACAATGTCTTACGTATTTACAACAGTTCTTTTGAACTTAGTGTCTGAGAGTGTATTTTCCCAGTTACGTGGCATTTGAAAGAATAATGAGAACAATGTACTACGTGAAACTTTCACAGTAGCTTAATAGCACCTTTTTCCCTTGATGTCTTGCTATCCAGACTGCCTTTCCACCAAAGAATGCCTAAAATCAAGAAAATGAGGCATAAAACCGAAGCTCCAACTGAAGCTCCCACCACAATAGGTACCTTGCTTTTCTTATCACGAGGAGGCGGGAACTCTACAAAATTATAGAAAATGAAAGGCAAAAAAAAAGGTTACAATGACATAAGCTTCTGTTCTATGATAAATTGTGTGTGCGCGCGTGTGTATGGGAGAGAGAGAACTAAAGTTTGCAACTCAGAATATACCAGACTCTAGAGAGATAGCTGATATAAGAGGACCATATGTTCCTCTCTTTGGAGAAGCTGTTGTCCCTTTCCCAGACCAATGAAATCGGATCTCTAAAGTTTTGTTCTTAACCTCAACTGCTTTAAGTTCCTTAATGACCTCCTTATCAACCCCTTGTGCTTCCTTTTCAATGTCAAAATCCTTCCACACCAGTTTCTCCTGTAACAAACTTTATCAATCAGAAATCATCTCACTTAGCATAGACAGTGCATAAACAATGGGATTGGCTACCTGAATATAGATATCAAATATCCGTCTTCCAAGACTGTAAAAAGATCTATTGCCTCGGATTATTATCTCCGAAAAGTGAAGCCTCACAGTATAGTTTCCATTTCCGAAACAGCGTGCATAATACGTGAGAGAAAGAGGAGATAGGCGTGCACTTGTGTACAACTCAGAGTTGTTCATTCCAAGTGTGGATGCATTATTTGCTATGTAGTCATTAGAGGTGGGGTTAGCATCCCAGAAATGTCCAGTAGTACTGATTCCCCAGATAGGTCTCACAGGAACAAATTTTGCTGCACCTCCTAGGTCTGGATCCCCTTCAAAGTTAATTCGTCCAATGGTGGTTGCCTTTCCACCACAATTTATATGTAATGAGTACCGATCTATTCAGTAACAACCAAGAAACAGCATCACATGAATTGTAATCAGATTAAAGCAAGTATTTGAGTAGATAAATGAAATTGAAATAGTCTTATCAGCAGTTTTCCATCAGGTCATATGAAATCTTAAATTAACTGAGTTCTTCTACAAAATCCGCACGAAA